AACAGATACTGGAGTTTGGGTTTCAGGCTACATAATATCACTTATTATTTTGTCTTATCGGTCCCATTACGCTTTCTAAATTGCAATCTCGAAAGTCTGGCATTGTATTCTTTTCATATAACCGAAAGTATGAACAGTTCTTTTAATTCTTTTCATGACGTTTGGTTCTTCTGTATACTCGGTCGGTATTGAATTTTTATATTCTCAAACAGGTGAGGCACGGCCCAGGTAATCTGGTTTGATCATAAATAAATAAATAAATCTTTTATTCTCAACAAGGTGAGGCACGCCTTTACAGGCATGATCATTTTGACATAACGATGCATGATCAAGAATGTGCAAAAATCCGATATGTTTGCCATTGCAGTTTGTGTTTGTGTAGGGGGTATGTATGTATGTCATTTTGTGTGTAAGTGTATGTAGCTGTGTATTTTGTGCTTGTAGTTGTGCTGCACCAAGCTTCAATGTTTGATATCGTCATCAATATGCGAGTAGGAGATTGGTGTCCGTGGGTTGGATAGAATTATCCGGATATCCACGGGGCAGTGACTTTATTTTGTGGCGAGTCACGACCGCCACGTCACAGTGTTGTTAAGCAGACATTTGTGGCTTTTTATAGGGAAAACGCTTGCCAGGCGAAACCCACCACGTCCTGGAACACTGCCGCCGAACTATTTGCTGGAACGGGTTAAACCCGAACCACCCAGCTGACACCACGAGGAGGTTGTTCGGCTAGCCAGCCAGATAAGGTAGAAAAGAATTTCTGACTGATTTTACACTTTACAAAAACACTTGTTCCAGTTCCATTTATTCTCGCACTATTGATTTCGTTTCAAATTTCGTCGGAATCCACGATAATTCCAAAGCGTATGCTTGGGGAAGAAATCAAAATAGCAACGTTTTAAGTGATGAGTGACAATATACACATGGAAAGTGTAATTTAATAATTCATCACAATGGTATATAACTGCTTAACAAACAGTGAAAGTATGTGAGCAGATATGATCACACTACAGACCGTTAAACGGAGAACTGCATGCATCATGAAACACACATCAGTTAGAATTAACGGCGTACATCACACAAGGGCTAAGAGGTGATAACACAGGGCAAACGGCATTGCGTACGTAAATTGGGCGGGTTAGTTGCAGACCATCAACAATTCACACTCTCAGTAAGTCCGTGTCTTGCAGGCACTTATGCTTTTCATCTAACTGTGTATTGGAAAGGAAGCACTGTGTGGAAGCTGATAAAAAAAGCTTGCTTATCCAACCCACCAATGTGCGCATGTCTCCCCGATGCCATCAGTGAGTCTTCAAGCTAAGTAAAGGCACAGTAGAAGGCAGTGTAGATGAAGAAAAAATCGAAGCTAAATCCCATCTAACTCACCGATGTGCCCATGTTTTCTTGATCGCCAAGGAGCCATCATTCCGAGTAACATGAAGAATATGACAGTATAGACTAAGCGAAACAGAAGTAGATCTCATCCAACCCATCGGTGTATCAGCCTTTTCATATGCTACAGGCGGGTCATCGATTTGCGTACTACCGAGGGATGTGACAAAGTAGGAGAAAGGAATGAAAGATAAAGCGAAGTTATCTAGCAAGCAAAGCTCATGCTAGGAGAATACCGTATTTCACGTTGTATCGACGCCCTTCTCCCCCCATCTTTGTCGGTACTTTTGAATTGCAAATTCCGCAAGTATTTATATGTTATCAGGCCCGTTGTCGTACACCCATTCGTCTGTGCCACTGACACAAAACACTACTTTAACCTTATTAACAGTTAAGCGCTCTTAGTTGCATCTTAAATGTTCAAAACGAAAATGAACTGATGGCCTGAGACTATCTATTACACAGTGTGAGATATTTGTGTGTAAAGGTGCTGTGCCATATACGATTGCGGCAAAGAGGTAGTTTTGTCACATAATCTTTGTTTTTTAGGTCATGCGGGGGAGATTCTTGAAATACCGGCTGCTAGTAACTAGTGTATGTCAATCCATGGACAATTTTGAATAATAGACATAAATTCAGTCTTAATCTCCTAAGCCATAGCGGCCCGACTTTTAACAAATGGTATCTATCTTTATCAGTGAGCTTAGAAGTGCAACCCACGATTCTTTTGGTAATCGACCTTTATGTAGCTTCGATTGCATTCGTGTCACATCTAATGCTACTAAAAATGGTGGCACAGTATTAATAATAATCTGCCATCTAGTTTACATGACAGAAGCTTAACCTCGCTTGTTCTAGGAAAGCGGTCTATCATTCCAGTAGTCTGTCGTGTTTTAGCCACCGTATACTCAGCTTGTTCTTTGACATTTTACGTACCTGACTAACGGAGACCTAAGTCGCATATCGATTCGCATAAAGGGAGTGCGATTCCTTGCAAAAACAAACATTCATGTGAAACAAAGCATCCATAGCACATGATATTGCATCTAAATGTTGCAAATTTCCTGGAAAATCTGACACAACCGTCTTCCAGTGAAGCTAGATCACTTTGGATTGCAGATATAAAAGACGGATATTGGGAATCAGTGGCATACTCACTTTTTGTATCATCTGCGACCAAATTGGGTCTGCCGTACTTTATGGCAGGGAAGGGTCATTTACGTGTATCAAAAAAGAAGAGGTTCGAGTACAGTACCTTGTAGCACTCCACTAATGATATCTCTTGTTTCCGACATATACTCATCTATCTTGACTGTATGCTTTCGAACAGTGAGGTAAGGTTCTACTCAGGATAGTAATGATCCTGCAATTCCACAAAGGCGCAGTTTATGTATAAGCGTTCTGTGTGAAACTCTGTCAAAGGCTTTTTGAGGGTCCAAGTGAAGTACGATACAGACCTTACCACAATCTATTGGCTTCGTTAAGTGATTAAAGAAATCTAATTGGCAAGTGACACTCGAACGCTTTTGAAAAAATACATACTGCATATGTGACAAAAGGTTGTTTGATGTTAGAAATTTGACGATATCATTTATACTTAGGTGCTCCGTGATTCTTTAAACTATAACAGTGTTATTTGTGGGCCATAATTTTTATCCTTATGTCTAGGCTCGATTTTATGACTGAGTATCACAATCGTCAGTTTCCACTGGTAGGGATAAAATCCTCTTATAATTGGTGTAGTAACAGGGGTCATCATTCTCACCGAACTTTAAAACTACTGTGGGATTCCGTCTGGACCTGGACGAAATGTAGTCTTTAAAGTTTTAATTTGACGCTTGATAGAACCAGTGTCGAAATTTACGTTAGAACTACATGACCCACAGTACTGTGTGGGGTGATCCCAAAGTATGTCCTTCACAGCAGTAAAAGAACCGGCAAAATGACTGTTAAAAGCTACGGCTACAGCTGCAGGAGTATCCATAAGGACACGCTCGGGCGTAATAAGATGTTGCGGTAGGTTTTGTTGTGTGCGACTCCGCTTTTTACCACTCGTGCTATTTCAAATACTGGATTAGCACTTTTCATGCTTTCATCTCCTTTATTAAAACGAAGAATTCTCAAGTTATCATTTTTATCAACGGTCTGTGAAGCCTGAGTAGAACTGTAAAGTCATTAGTCTGTTGAAATCGTTTGGAAAGAACTCTAATCTTATGTTCGTGCTGTTTTTCCCCCGACTGTGACTTGTTTCGACTGCGAGCTAGATCACGCGACAGTATTTCGATGCATCCATTTATGTTCTCATAAAATTTTTGCAATGACATCTTTGGATTAAAAGACAGGAAGAAATCGGTCTAGTTAGAAGTATGCACCAGGGTAACAAAGTTGCTGTACTTTATTCTGTCAAAATTACACGTCCCAACTGGGCTATTGGTGTATATACAATGTTTATTTTGCAACAGACAACGTTATGGTCACTATTGTATATACACTCCAGTACGTCGATAACAGCAACTATTATTCCAGTAGTGAATAGGAGGTCGAGTGTATTATGCAACCGTGTGGTAGATGTTACATTATGTGTCCAACCTTCCTCAAGCAGACAATCCAAGATTTTAGCTTGCTTTCCTGTACCTTTGCACTCGATCCATGAAATGTTTGGTAAGTTGAAATCACCTCCAGCTACCTTAAAGCGAAATGTAGTGGCATGTCTCATCGCATTCTGAAGCAATCCGTTTTCAAAGACATAAGAGTTCGGTGATACATAAACACAACCGACCAACATTCTATTATTACCCAAAGATACTGTTGTCCAAATGAACTCATCGTGGCATGATAATTGATCGTCACTGCATTGTGAAGCATATAAATTGTTCGTACAGTAAATGACACAACCACCTCCCCTACCATGATATCGGTCCTTTCGAAAGGAATAGTAACCTTGGATAGCAATAATATGGCTTGCAGCCTCACTTGTACGCCATAGAATCACTCGTCAACTTTACCAGCTGCAACACACTTGGCAATTTTATGTTTGTTGATTGTTGCAGTCACTGTTCGTTGGTGTACCAATCGTTCTAGAGAATTACCTCAATTTTTTACCTTTTACGGGACGTACTGGTGGCTGAACCTTCAGTTTATCGATTTTTCTTGCTTCATTGTACATGTAGACTGATTATCTCCGCTACCTTGTCTCGGCTTAGTTCTCGTATTGCTCAAGACGCTGGTGCACTACATGCACAATTGTATCCCTGTATAACAGGTGCCCATGCCAACATTTTCCCTAGCATTTGGATGAACCAAGAGTTACCGGACGCTTGCTATTGCATTCGTTCCTTCTGCCGTCATCATCCAATACCGGGTTTTACTCTTACAAGTGCCGTTCGCTACTATTAATCCACAATATTGTCTGCAGTACATTTTGCTTTGGGATGACAGTACATTTGTGACATCGTTATTTTCAAGTATTGAAAGCCCTGATTCGGACTAGTGCTTGTTACTTGTGTTTGAATATGTAGTCATGGTGCAGGTTTCTGGTGTACTACTGGCTGTGTCATTGATTGACTCAGTCATATTGTTTATCTTGTTCACTATATCTTTTTCAGCCCGACGAATATCCGATTCTGATGCATTTTGTCTAGCGTTGGAATGGGCACCAACTCTTGGCGGTGTGCTAACCATTCTCTCTTCCGGCGAGGTGGCTTTATTGCAACCACAGCAATTTGCCGAATCTGATTGGGTAGGTTTTTATACTGATCTTTAGATTTACCATTCAAACTCTGTGTGCATTTTGAACATGCATTATTCGTTTTCTGTAGTCAATCGTTTTAGATGTCTCAATGTCATTCACTTTTGTTCAATCTGCAGAGCGTTGTACCACAGACCATCTGTTTTATTTGTCTCGCGGTTTATTCCTTATGTTTTCTTCCAGTTTGCTGCTGGGTTTACATGTATTGCTTTGGCTTTAGGGAACTAAGGTTTAATTAGCGATCCGCTTTTCCACGTGCACCTCAACATAATGGTTGTACTCACCGATCCACTTCCGTGTTTCCCCAACGCGACTTGCATACAGCCCAATTTAACTTCCGGCTTAATCACTGGTCGGATTTTTGTTCATCCGCACGCACTACTCACTAATCCTGAAAGATTTACTACCTTGCTAATGGCCTGTGATTATGCAGATTACTTACTGTTGTCTATTTTTACGGGTAGATCTATTTCTAGTGAAGGCTGCATCCCAGAGTTTGTTACTTAAAATTTTTTTTATGTTTAAATACTTTTCTGACCTTGTATTTTCGCGCATCGCATTCTAAACTTTCTTCAGACCACCTAGATGTGCTGCTCACGGCGGCCAGCTGTTTGAAATCTAACGGGATTGACACTGCCTGGGCATTTAAGTCCTGCATTTGTTTTCAACTTCATGCATCTTGTTATGAATTGCTGATTAGACCGTTTCTCATGTGACATTTTCGTGGCAAATGGGCACTAGTGCAAAGTAAAGAAGCACCACTGTTATTGACGGCGACGTCACGAACCGTTGGCTGCTTGATAATTACATTTGATTTTCTTGTAGCTAAGTATTGAATATATATAGACACTGGTGTGCTTACAACAGTATCTTTTGTTCCGCATTGTTGTATTCAGACTACGTAGTGCAACAGCACAGTATGTGCTTAAATGCGCCAAGTACTTTGTCTTTTGCTCAACTGCATTCACCGGTCTTATTCGTACAGCATTGTTGTATCAACTGGAAACATCCCTCTCCCTCATGAAACAATCTTCCTTAACAATACGCCGTTCCTACTATCATTGTCTCTACAGTGAATCACCTGTGCTCTATTATTCTTACTTGGAATTACATTAACATCTACTTTAAGTGAAAGCAATCTATGTTTTTCTTATACTCTGCTGCCACATTCTGCTAAACTTGTAATTTTTCACTTTGCGGAACGACCAAATTTCGTGCCGTCGCTCCGCCTCGCCTTCCAAGCTGAAGTCCACGTAACCCGCTTTAGGTTCGGTTTGCGATGTTACAGGACATGGCTAGCAGTCTGCACCTGTGGCGTATCTGCTGTCGTTTCGTAGTCGGATTGCTCGTTTAAATGATGTTTGGCACTGAGTTATCTACGGCGCGGTGGCTGAGTATGGCGCAGGGCAGTGAAAGCCGCAAGGAAGCTGTCTCGGCGGTGCCGCTTTATCTTTGCACGACAGCCAGTTCTATGTGCTGGTACGCTGTTGACAAGGTGTAGGCGTCTTGTTTAGGGCATTACGATTTTACGCTGGGTTCCCCTTCTCTGCCTCTTAGTGTTCTTCGTTCCGTTGATCTCCGTAGTTGTACGGCAGCGTAGCATCCATTCAAATGGCTGGTGTACTGCTGTTGATGGTGTTGATTCAATTCTCGGACTCGGCCAGTAATGCATGTGGTGTTTCAATTTGCCAGATAGGATTTTAAACCACCATCCTTGGGTCTGTGAACCTGGTTATATGGTAGGATATCGGTCCTTTTCTTTTTGTTGACCATGTCCCCCTCCCTTTTGCATTGCACTTCACTATGGCAAATTTGCACTTGCCTGTTTCACACAACAAAGTTGTGCTGCTGTTTTTGTGATGCGACCGGCGCAAACAAACAAAACGTGAGCGCCTTCCCATTTATCCGCTAATCTTGCAATACTGCTGGTTTCAACTTTAACACTCTGGACCAATCTTTCACCCAGTAACCAGATACTAAAAATAAGATACAGTACTTATTCTATCTGTTTTCATTCACACCCAAAAATACCGACTCTCTACTAGGCCTTAGATTATCTGGGATATGACGCTCCATATCTGACAAATTCAGTTAATGTAAACGTTGATTTAGTATTGACATTCATCACATGCATTCGGGTGCTTACGCGGATTTCTCTCATCGAAGTCTCACTAGATGCAAGCCTCAATGCTACACCAGAGTTCATGTCGACCTTTTTATTTTGGTTCTTCTCATGACCATTATTTATTCGTATAAGCAGTAGTAGACTTGGGATTGAGAATTTGTGAGTATCACAAGTGGGAGCCGGTGCCATCCGCTTTTTCTGGTGTACTTTAACAGCTTTTATTCTGAAAATGCCATCACCTAGTTCCTCTTGATTGATATTGTTGCTTAATCTCCTTAGTCTGTCTCCTCTATTCCCGACAGCCACCAGTACAAACAACTCTGGGCTGGTAGATTGATCAAAATTGTTATTCTGCATGTCGTCTGTATAAGCGAATTATGACTAGAAATTTTAATCTGCTCTAATCAAATAATCAGTCTGTTTCTTGGCTGTGCTAGACACGGTCTTGGTGATTGGTCAAATCAAATTGTTTAGTGATCGCAAAGGTACATGATTGTTCAGGCAACTAGACGAATACTTGTACTCTCGATTTAACGAGCTACGCCTCATTTGGTGTGAACAACCAACCACACGAAAAACAATGGGTCGATCACATTTTGGTCGGTGGCACTCAAAACTATCACCAAGTAGCAAGGACACCCCGGTAACTACGTGGCCTGCGGGATAGTCTGTCATTGCAGCAGACTAAGAAGCAGCTGAACAGAGGGCGAAGTTCTGCAAAGGGTGGTTTGAACTAGGACGATTGATTTATTTTCAGCATGTAGGTATATACATGCTGCAGCATTGTTGGTGTGCAAGTAAGGCATCAATCGCCTGGGCGTTATCTGACACTATCGCAGTAATTGTACGAGACTATCAGGGAAGCGGCAGCTTGTAAAAATAGAACATTGTACGGGTTAACCGGTATGCACAGGGAGGAGAACGCTATAATTATGTTAGTTGTTAGTAGGGGACTATGACACAAATCAACACTGATGCGTTATGCCTTTTACACTGAGTGCGAATGGGTTCGGGAGGCGTGCATGTTGACTGTTTCATAGCGGGTTTCGACGGTACTACACTAGCATCCATCAGGCCCATGTTCACATGGTTTGTCAGTGGCTGTGCTAATACAGTATAACCTCCTTAAGTTTACCACTCAAGGGACTGGACCAAAGTGGTTAACATAAAGAAATGGTCAACATATGGATTTGTTATACAAAAATTAGTGCGCTTTACTGCCCCGTTGTGGTTAATACAGTATTCATTTTAATTTCACGTACGCCTCGTTTTGTATATATCAGTGGAGCTTTTATATACCTGCAAAAACATCATATCCCCAAGATACTCATCCTTATACTTTTGAATACTTCTAACTGTTGTCTTGCTAACACCAAAATGTCATTTTTTGGATACTGCTTTCCAAAACATGCACCAGAGTAATCTGCTCCTTCACTTTCAACTCTTCAAGCTCTTTCCATTGGGCCACAATGCTGCGGTTCGCGTAGTAGCCGATCCTGCATCGTTCAGAGCACTGAGTTGATGCTGCTTACAGAAAATTACTTACATACAATCGTAAATGCCAGTGGGTGAAATAATGAGCTCTATAAGCCTGGTCTCACGCACGGCTTGATTCCCAGGACAAAAGGAGCAAAACTCGCTGTAGCGGAAATCGTAAACTTCGTTCTATAACAGTAAATTTAAATGTACATAGATCACTTACGAATAGGTTTGTAGGCGTAGCCTCAGTGTTTCTCAACAGCGAGCCGATACAATCACAGCAGTCTGTGTTCCCGATCAGCAGGAAACGGGGACAGCGGTGAGACGGACAGCAATAGCCAGCACGTAATGGTGAAGTGTGGGATTATACGCCACTAGGACGGTGTTTCAGTTAACCAGGGTGATGCGAATAGACAGATGTCACGGTCGTGCTTTATAATCCTCGTAATTGAGCAGAAAGGACACAATGAAGGTAAAATGCAATATACACATATGCTGGCGAGTAGGGAAAGAAGGATAAAATTGCAAATTTGCAGCTTGTGAATATGTAATTCGCAACAATAACAAACCTTAATTGTTGGTGCTCTCAGGTGGGCAAAAAATGGCGCGGGATGGGAGCTCGACGATCAGTGTGGATGTAAAAGTCTATTTTACCACAATCCAAGAGGCTGACTAACAGGTGTAGAACAAGATAGCTCATAACCGGTAAATCGATGGTTAATCAGACACTGAACCTCGAGATTGCGAACTGGGCAATGCGTGAGCGCATGTTCCAACGGGTAGGTCTGATGCGTACTTGTGAGGAAAAATTTCACCCAAAAGCATCTGAGATCAATTCGTGGACGCAGATCTGTGGGATACATTGTACTAGGCAAATACCGATGCTCGTGAGCACTAAGATATAAATACCCACGCACATACACAAACAGGACCATGCTGCATTGTCATACGTCTGCGGAGCTGTCGATTGTAGATTGGGAGAATTTCGCGCATTGCGAAACCCCCGCTACATACACATTATTATTTGAACAAACGATCGTCCGACGACCATTGCACAGTAAACTTCCAGGTAGTCAACTTATAGTGGTAAACTTAATACCATCGCAATGAGACTGCACCTTACCGTGGTGCGATGGTTTGTGAGCCTCAGCCATCCGTTGAGCTATGCTGGATGGTACTTTTTTTACACCTTCAGAGCCACTCATACAAGATTGGTCAATGGTTAGAGGCCAGACAAACTCAGCCTCCTGGTCCTCCAGGTTGGGGGTTGGAATGAAGTGGTTCCTTATTCCTTAAAACGGACTCCTTGTAGCCCAACGCCGAACCCGCTGCCTTGCAGTTAGGTTTTAAACCAAAGGCTTTGCTTGAGAACCCTAATCGTTCTCCT